CCTCATCATCTTTGTGGCCTCTGCTGGACTGCCTCCAGAAGATCCCGTCTTTCAGAACTCATCTCTCAGAAACACCTGAGCAGTGAAGCCAAAGCACATTAACCCCTGCAGCCCTGCAAGCTTCGGCCCTGGACAGAAGCGACATCAAGGCTGGACTCCCTCATCATCTTTGTGGCCTCTGCTGGACTGCCTCCAGAAGATCCCGTCTTTCAGAACTCATCTCTCAGAAACACCTGAGCAGTGAAGCCAAAGCACATTAACCCCTGCAGCCCTGCAAGCTTCGGCCCTGGACAGAAGCGACATCAAGGCTGGACTCCCCTGCTGGGAACAAACCATCTCCCCTTTCTTATCGAGAGTGACGTCCTCATCTTGCGCCGCTTTTGTCACTGCTCTCGGGTATTTCACCTGTGGAAATAACGTACATAACACAGACAAACGACACCCAGAGCAGTGTCTGGGACAGCAGCTGAGCAATGTCCCCACCACAGGGACACAGAACACCCAAGATTTCCTTTGGCAAAGGACCAGCTCTGCCATTTCACTTTTTGGGTCTAGCAGCTGGTTCTAAGGTTGTTGTTTTTTTCTCCAGCCTGGTTCACAAACATCTTCCCTCTGTGAGGACTTGGTGTCACCCAAAGGCAAACGTTTCACCCTGGCTCGGGTCAGACATCCAAGACAACAAAACTCCATTTTCACACTCTCCACACCCAACGTGGCCACCACCACGGCAAGAGGATTCCGGGTGGGCATCACAGACAGATCAGTACCTCGAGTCAGCTGCACACAACCAAATCAGACACCTATTGCCAAAAAAAGGTATTTAAAAATACATAAAAGGGTATAAAAAGAGCAGTATTTTGTCATTGATCTATTTCTGCATATTGACCTTCAACTTCAACAGAACAGAGTGCATTTTCTCCTCTCTCCCCAGACAAATTGCCATGTGGGGCCTCACGAAACATCTTACTCCGAGAGACAAACAGCATCATCAGTAGGACAACTACTGGGGGTTGGAACTGGATGATCGTTAAGGTCCCTTCCAACCCAGACCAGTCTGAGACTATGATAACAACCAAACTTTTACACTCCTGCCTGAAGGTCTCCCCAAGAGGGCAAATGTTCTCCCCACAGAGGTGACACCCGGCTGTGGTACAGGAATATGACATTTGTCTGGCGCAGCACCTGGCACAGGGGCGACGCGCCCATCACCCAGCACTCGCTCCCAACACCCCGTGAGCCTGGTCGGGAGGCTGTTCCCTGGTGAGGACAAGAGCAGAGCAGTACAAAATGAAGGTCACACGGTCCTTGTAATGATTTTTAGAGAAGAAGCAGGTTAGCAAATGCTGGAATGTCAGCTTTAGGCATACGTCCTGCATTTATTGAAACAAGAGGCGTGGCTGCGCAAGCCCATCTCCACGGGCAAAGAGTCGTTACAGGTAAGAGTGGTCTCAACTCCTCCAACTGCAAACACCCCATATTCTGATGTTTCAGAAGAATTTATGTCCTTTCCCACACGGCTAACACTTGCATTTATTAATTAATCAGTCTTGTTTCCTCCCAGCATCAGCGGCATTCAATCTGTAAGATGAACTTTCATGCTCAAACCTTGCCCTCGGTTCATTCCAAAGCCAATTTGCACCATGTCCTTCTCTCTAGTTTCCAACTTTTTCTGCTGATCATCTTTTTTTTTTTTTTTCTCCAAATAGTTCAGATTTTAAAAAGGTCTAGTCCTCTGGATTTGGCGTGACAGCAAAAGTAGCAAGCAAGAGGACAGAAAATGTTACTGAAGAGCAAGCTTGTTAATTGTAAATAAGCTCCTTGGGGAGACATTTTCCCAAGGCAAAGTCCGCTCCTGGCACTGGAAATGCCTGGGCACTGTCACCACACGGACCACTTGGGGCAGAACCTGGATGAGACTCTATCAATAATCTAAGTGGTTTCATCTCCATGTGTTTTCATGACATTTTTTTTTTTTTTTTAAAAGAGCATGAAAATAAACCTTTATTTCAGTTAACACCCACCAATATTAAAAGATATATGTTCACAGTTTGAGTTTCTTAACACAAAATGGACTGAAAGAGGCAAATTTACATCTAGCAGAACAGCAGACGGACCGGATTGTTAAGCACAAGCTGTCTTGAAAATCATACGTGAGATGCCATTTGGGAAAGTGCTCTATGCTCTAAAGCAGGAGGAGGGAAAGCTTCTGACCAAGTCCGGCCAGCAAAGCCCCAAACAACTGACTGGCTGGCCCAGAAATCATCTGGAAAGAAACCAAAACAAACTGAGTGGCAACTGAAACAGCAAACAGACAGTTTTGATAAGGAGAGGAAGGTTTATGTTACAGAGGAAGCTTTTCTGCAAGTGTGTTTCTGCCTACCAGGGCATTTCATTGTGTTATTCAAGGTGTCCCCAACGCTGGAACTGTAACACATTCTACCAAACCACAAAGGGAGAGAGAAAGGGGAGAGGAACAATTCGGGGCTGGACCTCCAGCAGCCCCCTCACTCAAAGATCTGCTTTGAGTCAGAAGAAACGAACCAAGAGATGTGGAGCATCCACTGTTTGAAAACTTGCCTCCTTCTGACAGCCTGGAACATTAAACTATAGGTGAGTGTACTGAAAAGTCTAATCCAATGATATTAACAGTGGTTTACAACAAAAACTTCTGTAGAAAAGGGTTCAGGTAAAGCAAGCCAGCTAAACACCACAGTTAAGGAGTTTGACATTTCATATTCAAAGGTCTCCAATACTTTTTTGCCTGTCCTGTACAGCTTTTAAAAAAATAGGGCATTACCTTTTGTTTTCTATCTACCTAGTTAAGAAACTACAAATATGTTATAAGCTGTCCAAAGTGTAAAACATTAAATAAAATGAGAAACCTGTTTCTAGTCTCCTAACAAATGCTGCAGATAAAAACCCTAAGAAACCCTCTTTATTAGTCATTCTCTCAACTCCTTTTGTGTCCTGAAGTGGCAATCCTGTTCACAGGGATTAAATTAAACCTAGGGCAAATTTCTACCGGGGTAGGAAGGGTTTCTCATAACCATGCTCTGAAAAACATTCATTTGTCAGCTAGCACTCAGATCTCAAACACTGCACAAGTCCAGAATTAAATTCTGAGGGAGAGGTTTGAGTGTTGGGGTTTTGTTCTGCATTTTTTTTGGTGTTGTTGTTGTTGTTGTGTGGTGCAGAGATTGCAACGTCCCCATCTCAAAATGGTCAGCCAAAAACTCCCTCCTGCCAGAGCCAGCCAAGCCTGAGGGTTTCTCCTTCAGATGATGTGCTGCTGCTGGAGCAGTTGGGAATAAATAAATGA